TTCCCACAACTAGGGCCAAAATGTTAGTTTGTTGATTAAAATAAAAGAGGAAAATAAAGGAAAGGAGAAGAAAGAGAGTGCATGGCAGGAAAACTAAATTGCAAAGAGAAAGCGTGATGCCGCCGCGAAAGTATGAAAACGATGAAAACGTAGAAAACGAAATAGAAGCTGAAGCATAAAACTAAACTTAAAAGAAGCTAGAAAGATGAATTTTGGGACAAAGTGCAGTAAATTGAATTGCAGGAAACTAAATACATCAATGGAGATGTTCAAAACGAAATAACAAAAATCAGAGTTGAAACTAATGGCAGTATAGAGCTAAAGACTAAATTAGGAAAGCTGTTTGAGGAAACTGGATCTAAATTAAGACATTGCTTGTAAAATTAAAATGTAGATAGCGCTGGGCTAGTTGTGTGAGAGGCTGGTCTTCTTCGCTTCGTTTCTTCTTTGCATCTTTATAGCAGTAAACACCCTTGGCAGCATGCTTGGAAATCTGTGGCAGCAACTTGACAATCAACGGCAGCATGAAATCTGAAACAAACTGATTATTCTGTTGATTCTGCCAATTATTCTCCTGAAAGTTCGCAACAAACCAACAACCTTACTGTAGTTGTGGAAATAACCACTTAACCTTATCCAGAGATTTACTCCAACAAATTTCAACTAATGAAATATCTGCCAACATGGATGACATGTGGCATCATTATACTATTTTGCAAAAATGGGTGTAAAAAATAAGTATTCTCCGTAGAACACCATTACATACACCAATAACTAGGAATAGTCATTCAGATACACATCTATAGAAACATGGAGTAAACCAAGTAAAGAACAATGTTTTTGGAAGTCATCAAGCGCTTATTTGGGTCTTTACTGAACAATTTTTCTTTCTCTTTCTTGAAAATTTAATTGGAAGAAACATGTATTTAGTCTGAATTCCATTCTTTTTTCTATATACGTTCGGAAGTTTTCAAGATAATTGTTTGAAGTTTAACATGTGGAGTTTTAAAGCTTCCAAGTTGTGGAAAACACAAGATTCTGACATGACACAACATCAAAGTTCAACATGTGAAATTTGTTAATTAGTTTATTATTTATTTATCAATGAAACTAAGTAGGCGACAATAAAGGTGAAGCCTTTTGTTCTTTCTTCACCCTTACCCGGTATCATTACTTTCCGTATAAATTTTCTTATGCAAGTCCCAACTTATGTTGTGGCCATTGAAGTTTTGGAGATATATCCGTGGAATAGAATATAACCGATGGAGCAATAACTCTTAACAATGACATAGGACCCCAGTCTTTGCAGTTTAGAAGCAATAAATCCCATTACCTTTGTCAAACCAACCAAATGTAAAAGCTATAAAGTGACAACCAGAAAATCCATGCGTGCTCACAATGCTCAATATATGACTTCGATCTTGAATAGTTACTGGCTATTTAAACATAAAAAACACATCGAATAGTCCCCAGTCACAGGATGGAAGAAATACCTTTGCAGCAAAGTGTCCATTTGGAGACCTTCGCTGAACTGGTGGAACTCTAAACCTGCAAGATAAGTAAAACAATCAATGGATAATAGAGCAAAAACTCATGGAGCTGATTCTCTTGATCAAAAATCATTATCAATGTATCAATCCAACCATTCCTTAAAAGCACATTACCCAGCAGTAAATAAGCATGTACAGGAAAATCTAGACATGAGATGAAAGTCAGAGCAATGGGAAATGGGGCTCATGAAAGAAACTACTGCCACCTTAATAATTCTACAAGAAGTGCATAGAGAAAGATATACAACCGCATCCCTTGAACTCCTAGAAACAGGACCCAAAGAACTTCAGTAAAATTTAAATCAGTCTAATAAGGGGAGGGAAGCCAGGAGGACATACCACATCCAGAAGATTATCAATAGAAGAAAAGAGAACAGTCTCTTAATGCAGATTAGAAGCTTATGGAAGAGGCATAAGAATTTATAACAAGGTAGAATTCTTCACAAAGAGAAATTCCATGAAGAAACTGCAAAAACCAGTAGGGGTAACCGCACACTATTCAGTTGACATTTTGAGTGAAAAATCTGTTTGTCCACATCAAGCAATGAGCCAGCTAGAAGGTTAATTTTTTAAGGAACATGTATGGCTCTTGCAGAATATTATTTCCATTATCAAACTCATATCATGTTTTTTTAAAATCCACCTCAAACAAGATCACCCCATCAACAATACTTATTTGATGCTTTGACATCTGTGCAAGTGCCAGATCACTGATACCAAATTAACTGTTAACCCATTATCAAATGATCTATGCACTGCTCAAATTATTAAATAACACCCAAAACTCATCATTCAAGCACACTATAAACTGGACTGCATGCACAGAAAAGACCAACACTTCAAACACTCCCAAATTTAGCACTTAAGAAACAGAATCAACCATTTGGAAGTTTCAGAATAATATGCAACTTGAAATAAGTTAATCAGAAGCACATTGCAGGAGTGATCAATATTGAGAAGGCCCATGATTTACCTTCAAGAAATCAACAAAATTTGGTCATTTAATGAGATGCATCATGATTAAAAAGTAATTACATGTGCACGCCAAATAACACTGTCATTTACCTTGGAGCAATTGCAGCCTTCTTTGCAGTCTCA